GAGACCAAGTCAGGACAGAGCGGAGGCCAATCCGGCCTGTGGTCAAGGGCTGAGGATGGAGGTATGATGGCTGCGCCTGTGAGATGAAGGCAGCACGCAGCTGCCCTGTAGTCACCGCCAGCGCTCCAATGAGTCTGGGAAGATAACAGATAACAGACACAGAAACAATGTAACAAATGCATAGAGGCAGCTGCCTGTAATTCCAGCACTTGGAAGGCTGAGGCAGGAGGATCCTCGCCAGCTCAAGGCCAGCTTGGGCTACAAAGTGAGCTCAAGGTCAGCCTGAACTGCATAGAGACCCTGTTTCAAAAAGACAAAAAAAAAAAAATGCATAGAAACAAGATAACAAAGAAAGGACTTGAATGGGCAACAAACACATAGAAAGAATGTGGTAAACACAAAGAAACAATGTAACAAACACAAAGACATATGTAACATCTATAGGAACAAATAGCAAGGAAATGTCCCAGTATAACAAACATATAGACAATGTAACAACTGCATGACCCCCCCCAAACATGTAGAAACAATGTGTCAAGCACATAGAAACAATATAACAAACACATGAAAAACCAACATAACAAACACATAGAAACAATGTAGTGAAGTGGGGGAAGAGGGTGGTGGCCCACCAGCACTCAGGAGGCTGAGGTAGGAGGATCACTGTGAGCTCTAGGCCAGCCTGGGCTACAAAGTGAGCTCAAGGCCAGTCTGAACTGCATAGGGAGGTCCTGTCTCAAAAAGACAAAAAAAAAAAAAAGGAAAAGAAAAGAAAGAAAAAGAAACAATGCAACCTGCACATAGCAATAATAAGAGGATTGTGAGACAGATGACCAGAACTCTGCCCCTTCCCCTGCCCCTTCCAGAAATGCCTTTGCTTTCCCCTGACTATGTACTTTGTCTACCACCTTGTTTTTCTACGAGATTAATATTAGCTAAGTGACTGTAGGTTGACTGCAGCTTGACCCAAGGTAGCCTACACCCAAGGTAACCTGCGGCGGGCAAGCCACTTGTTCAGACCGCTCCTGCCCTTCAGGGGCTTTCTCTCAATAAAACTTGCTACTCTTAACCTCTTTTGAGACTCTGCTATTGTTCTTCAGTGTCCTGAGACAGGCACATCTAACAGGTTAGGAGTTACTTCCCTGTAACAGAATGAGTTATGTGAGACATAGTTTAGGGGGAAATAGTTCTTGTCACAGAAAATTATGAATCATGAACTTCAGGCTAAAGTAACAGGAGAAAAACAAGCAAGGATATGAAGATTTTTCAAGTTCAAGGAGCAGCCAGGCGTGGTGGCGCACACCTGCAATCCTAGCACTCAGGAGGCTGAGGCAGGAGGATCGTTGTGAGTTTGAGACTAGCTTGGGCTACAAAGTGAGCTCAAAGGCCAGTCTGAACTGCATAGCGAGACCCTGTCTCAAAAAGACCTAAATAAATAAATAATTTCAAAGAGGGCCAGATGCGGTGGTACAAGCCTATGATCCCAGCTACTGGGGAGGTTGAGGCAGGAGGATTTCAAATGTAAGGCCAGCCTGGGCAACTTAGTAAAATCTTGTCTCAAAAAATAAATAAATAAATAAAAGAAATTCAGTGTGGCTTTCTCTAAACTGGGCAGAAAGGAGAAGCATAAATGAAGTGACGATTTCTGCCATTCATATCCTGCCCCTCCAGACACAGAACCATGCATAAGGAGCATAGGGACATAGTCATCACCTGCTCGCCCTTCTGGCCCTACTCCAGGGAGCAGCAGCATGATTCAGCCTAATGTGGGTTTCATGGACTTTGCCTGAGTCCTCAGAAACAGGTGTGGTGGCACCTGTGATCCCAGCACTCAGAAGGCTGAGGCAGGAGAATCACCATGAATTTGAGGCCACCCTGGAGTATATAGCAAGACCCTGTCTCAAGAAAAACAAAAAGAATCCAAAGAGATGGCATCTGCCCAGCCGTAAGTTTTTTAGGCGAAGGTGGGTGGAGAGGGTTCCCTGGTGGGGTTTCCTTAGCTCTGAGCTGCTGGTTGCCCTCTGAGGTCATCATGCTAAAAGCCTGCATAGGGGTCTGAATATAGACAGAGGATATTAAACCCAAGCCTGCCTTCTGCTACCCTGCCTGTCTTCCAGCCACAGTCCCCCCAACTGTAAATGGGAAGACCTGAACCTCAGCATCAGCCACTAGAATCCCTCCCGGCTGTCCTGATTGAGAACCTACAAGAGACTCTAACCCACTCACCTGTCAAAAGAAAAACTGTAGCCTAGGTGAGGTGGTGCACTCCTCTAATCCCAGCCCTCTGGGAGGCTGAGGCAGGAGGATCACAGGTTCAAGCTCAGCCCGGGCAACTTAGTGACTTAGCAAGATCCTGTCTCAAAATAAAAAGGGCTGGGGATGTGGCTCAGTGAGATGACCATGGATTAAACTTCCAGAAGGAAGAAAAATAAAAAAGACAAAAGAAACCACAGAGTGTTCATAACTTGATGTCCTTATTAAAGACTGTTCTTTATTCAGAGATTACATCCTTTCTGCCTGTTTGCTTCTCAAATTACTGACCTTAGGAGATAAATATGGTCAATAAATATTGTTTAGTTTTGGTTCTTAATGCACTTGCTTGACAAAAGATAAAAAGCTGGCAGCACTGCATTTCTTTCCCTAACAACCTCCCCCCTCCCCCCGCCACCGAAAATCCATTGGCCACACTGACTTTATTTTGTTTATTTATTTATGTATTTATTTTTGGCACCGGGAATTGAATTCAGGACATTACACTTGCTAGGCAGGCGCTTGTGCCACTGAGCTACATCTCTGGCCTGGCCACACTGATTTTATATCAGGGGCAGCTAATGGCTTTCAGGCAACTTGAGGGTCCAGTTATGGGGCCTCATGAGAAAGGAAATGTTTGAAAAAGCCAGACTGAGCTGAGCGAAGTGGTACATGTCTATAATCCCAGTAGTCTGGGAGGCTGAGGCAGGAAGATCTCAAATTTAAGCCTGGCAGCCAGGAGGGTTTAAGGGGAAGGAGAAGCCTGTAAGAGCCCTGGACTTACCTCCAGGCCTCAGTTTCCCCAACTGTCAAGTGGGGACAAGGGGCACCTGCTCCTTCCTTCCTGCAGTAGTGCTTTCCAGGATCCCACTGAACTTC